AAATGCAAAGACTTGTATAAGAAAGTCGTAACTGCTTTACTTATGACAGCCAGAAACGGGATGTCCAGTTGTCCATCAACAGGAGGATGGATAAACTATCCCATATCCATCCAATAGAATTCTATGAAATAAAAAGAACTACAGGTTCCCAGCCAAGTTAAATGTAAAGTTACCATATAACTCAGCAATATACCTAAGAGAAATGCAGCTGATGTTCACAAATACAACAAAAACACAAAACAGAAAAACCACAATACTTGTACATTAATGTTTATAGCAGGATTATTATTAGTTAAAAGGTGGAAAAAACTAAATGCCCATCAGCTGATGAATGGATAAAGTCTAGTAAAATTTTTAACTGCAACAACTGCAACACATGTGCACAATGCAGCTTCTGACATGTACTGACATCACTATACTCACCTTCTCTGCAGCCCACTTCTAAGAATTTCTTGCTATGGAAAAACTGTTCACAAATTCTGTCCTTTCAGAGAAATACTGCTATACTTTGATTATAGTTGCATATACATGCATATATATTTTTACTGTTCCATAAGAAATGTGGTATACAACCCAAGTCATGCAGGAAATATTCTAAATGAGAATAGTTACTCCAGAGGCCTAACGTCCACCCAAATAAATCTCACAGCATCACGAAATTGGAAAGATCCCCAGAAGTCTTCTCTGAGTAAGCCTGGGCACTCTCTGCCTCAGCAACTCAGCAGTGTGGCCTTTTTTGATTTTGGCTTCAGGCTTTACTTGGTGACTTGCAGTTTCTCAAAGGGTCATACTCTTAGACTGGCCAGAGAGCCCAGACAACAAAGCTCTGAAGTTACAGGTTTGTACCTTCATTCCACTAATCGGTTCTCGTGTGTGTGTGTGTGTGTGTGTGTGTGTGTGTGTGTAAGTTGGGGGTGGACACCTGTTCCCGTTGACTTACCATCAGGTGACCTGAGGACCAGGGAAACCTCAGTGTGAACATGGAGCTCTGTCCCAAATATCCCTTTCACAGATGTCTCAATACTTCACTGACTCTGTTCATATACCTGACAAAAATAGGCTCTGTCATTACCTTGCTGTGTGGTCTTAGCAAGTCCTTCCACTTTGCTGGGCCTCACTTTCCTCTACTCTCTACTGATACAGGAGAAGACAACTGAACTGTGAACAGGAAAGCATGAGAAACTGTGAAGGCTCGGTTGCCTTCTTTTGCTGCCTTGTTATCTCTAGTGGCTGAGTAATTTCTATCCCTTTACTCTTACCCAGGAGACTCACAGGAGGATGTGCAGGAAGGTTTATATTCCCCTTTTGTGTTAGTTTGAGATGCTGGAGATTCAACCGAGGACCTCTACACTGCGCTATAATCTCATCCCCTTTTAATTTGGGGGGTGGGGTGGGGACAGGGTCTTGCTAAGTTGCCCTGTGTGGGCTCAAAATTGCAATCCTCCTACCACATCCTCCTGGAGTGCTGGGATTACAGTCATGTATCATCATGCCCAGCTTATTTTTTCCATTCTTGTTTCTAGGGTCTCAAAGGACCCAAGCTTAGAGACTCTGTACTAGTGACTGTATTCTCCATTCTCCATCTCCACCCTCCTCTAACTGCCTTTTTTAATTTTTTGGACCCTATAATCAGAGCACTCTAACTCTGGCTTTAGTTGGGTTTGGCCAGTGGAAGAACTGGCACAAGATCAAAGATCTGGAGAAGAAAGAGCTGGAAGCTGTACCTCTCAGTGCCTTCCTACTTTCCTCCCTGCTCCCCTGTGTTTCAGGCAGAGGCAGCATTTTGTGATTACAACTCCAGTTGGGTGGCCCCCCTCTTGCTCAACTCCAGCTCTCACTCATTTTCATCAGAGTGTCCTTCCGTTCTTTCTTCTGGTCTAGCAGAGCTGAAAGGGCTTTCCTATGGCCAGTCCCTAGGTTAACTGCCTTTAACCTGCACATGCCTCTGTAAATACTCCTTCCATTATATTCCTGAATAAGCCCTTTGAATGTGCCTCCTCTTCCTGGCCATGTATGATACTACTACTTCTCCTCTTTAAAAATTAGGATGCTAGCTAGGATTCCTCCTAGCTGTGGAAAGTTCTATGGTTTGGATATGGTTTGAGTATGTACCCCAAAGTTTCATGTGTTGAAATTTAACCCTCATGGTGAAGTATTAAGAGGGGGGAAACTTAATCTGACAATGGTGTTTACAGCTGGGGCCTATTACAGGTGATTTATATTAGATAGAGTATTAGGGTGGAGCCCCCATGGTGAATCCTGGTGGCTTTATAAGGAGAGAGAAAGAGACCAAAGAAGCATGCTCCATGTGTGCTCCGTGTCTCCTTCCTGCCATGGTTCCTCGAGTGGGCTCAGGACTTTGCCAGCAAGGCCATCACCAGATGAGGCCCCTGGGGTATTAAACCCCCAGAACCACGAGCCAAAATATCCCTTCTCCCCCGACACACCTTGATTTTTACAGTACTTGGGATTCAACCCAGTGCCTCACACATGCTAGGCAAGTGTTCTACCACTAACTATATCTTCAGCCATTTTTATTTTGAGACAGGGTCTTGCTAAATTGCCCTGGCTAGCTGGCTTCAAACCTGCAATCTGCCTGCCTCAGCTTCTCAAGTAGCTGGGATTACAGGCACGTGCCAGTGAGCCTGGCACCACTGGCCAAAATAAACCTCTTTTCTTTATAACTTACCCAGCCTGTGGCACTGTGTTATTAGCAACAGAAAAGGGACTAATACAAAGTTCACCTGGAAGACTCAGAGGTGAGTTTTGAAGGAACGAAGCACAGGTGCCTTCTCTGTCACTAGCACTTGTCTTGAACTGCACACACCCTGTCTGGTTCTTGGCGCAAGTGAGTAAGTGGAAAGTCATCTAATGCTCTGCTACCAGGTGACATGTTTTACCAAATACTCCTGTGTTGCTCACCATAATTATCTATATTTGTGTATAAGCTGCATTCTTCTCACCATCTGTCTTATTTTGGGGTGGCAGATTTCCAAATGCCCTCTCTTACTCATGTGTAACACATGACTGATTCACAGGTGGGAAAGTCAACAGGCTTCTACCTCAATCTCTTCTTCTGTAAAGTGGGGTAATATCAACCTCACAGAGTTGGCTAAGAGACTACAACAGTAACATCTGCAGGGCTTAGAGTGGCAGTGCCAAGGACTGGCAAATACTGTTATTCTCTCATCTGAGTCATCTTGGCCTATTTTCCTATGACTTGTGGATAGGAAGGGAGAAAAGGGGGCCTGGGCAGAAAATTCTAAGTTCTTCCTCCCAATCTCAATGCTCTCCTTGGCAACCTACCCTGTCTTTATACCTCCTTCCCGAGTAGATTTCCTTTTCTACCACATTTTCATCCCAGAAAGTACGAGGAAGAGTAATCAGAACAGGTTGTGATTCTTACATTTTCTGCTAACTCTAAACTAGTGGTTTTCAAATTGTGACCTGGAGTTCCCAAGAAGCCCTGTACACTACAGAAAGTGGGTGATATTCTAGGGCACCCTTCAGCTTGCTCTTTTCCATTTAAGCTTCCTTTCAAGACTGATAAAGGCTTCCAAGACTTTAAAAACTTAAATTCCTATTCTGATGAGGTATTGAAAGCCTTCAGACTTTACAGTTAGTCCTAATCTTCTTTGGCCCTTCTTGCCAAGGAATTTTCTCTATTCCACTCAGATAGTATGTATTCTTTTCCATTTCTGATGCAGCTGAAAGAGATATGTGAACAAGCACATCTTTGTGTACTTATCTGCAGCGTCTTTCCTGGGCACTCAGCCTGTTCAGTAGACATTCTCTCCTTAATTCTCACGCCCCTGTGGAAGATAACTATAGTACTGTTCAACAACAGACACATCTGAAGGCAATCTGACTGGCACCTGATCCAGCTCCTGCAAAACTTCCAACCACTAGAATATTTCCAACCCCTAGAACCCAAAATTAGTAGAACCATCCATTCTATGACATTCTTATGGCCTGGCCCCAGTGGCTGCTGGGAATGAGTGAAGTGGGGCAGCAGAAGCTATACAGTAGGGACCAGATCCCAGGGAGGAGTACTCAGCAACTAGAATTGGCTTCTGGGATTAGAGAGGTACTAAGACGCCAATGGTATTATAATTTCTTTACACAGTTTAATACCTTGGGCAGAGAATTAGGGACATATGAAAAAGCAAAAGTCAGACTGCAAGACCTCTGCTTAGCATGTTCTTATCCCACAGTGTTACGGGTTTCCCTGCTATGATTCATTTGAGTTTTTGCTCAAATACCGTATCATTAGAACTGTCTTAAAACTGAAGCAAGATGAGCCCTAACACTAGGGCTCTCCAATCCTACCCAGGCCCCTTTTCACAATGCTTGGAGCCCATGGGTCAACGGTATGTGCCCGTCCAAACCTCCTGTCCCTCATCCCTTCTTAGATCATCCTGTGGGCACCTGAAAAGCTAGATCTCACTGCTCTCCACAGCAAGAATGTTGTTTCCCAACATCAGGGAAACGGCCTGCGCTGGCCTTTTCCCCAAGGTCTGTCCTCTTGAGGAACCAAGGAGTAGCCAAGGGAGGCCATCTGTAGGTGGTGGGGGCAAAGCTCAGCCAACAGGGATGTGACAGGATGTCTGCACACAAGGCCCCTGGAAGTATGAAACAGAGCTTGGAGCAATGGGGACGAGGAAGGTTGAAAGTCAGGAATCAGTTTCTCGGGAAGCTGCTGTACATATCTCAAAACAGCCCCAAAATTCTAAACTTAAATTTAGCCTTCCAGGTTATTATGAAGGTATACACGTCCAGATAAAAGGGCAGAGATTTTAGGTAATAGTGTAATTTGGTTTATAGTTTGAAAATATGTAAACATATGCTATGAGGGCCTTCATTTGTCCTACTCAGTCCCTGTAAATATTGAGGATGGGCCTGTCCCTGAGCACTCTGTCTAAAGTAAGACTCCCTCGTCACTCTATTTTTACCCCGTACTTCCCCGTTGCTTTTGTCACTTGGGCTCTACATTTACTTACGTATCGTCGGTTTATCCCCACTATAATGTAAGTTCTGGTCCTAGAGCATTTGTTCACCACCTGTTAGCCTCCCAGTTTTACAGGTGAGTTGGGCTAGCCCAGCAGACACAAAGGGAAAAAGATCACTGTGACAGCTCTCCGGAGAAACCTCTTAAAATAACCCACAGTACACTGGAGCTACACAAGGTGACCACGGCAAATCCATTAATGCCTTCTCGAACGTAGGAGCGCAAGATTAGTTGCTTAGGTTCTTCGAGGGAGGAACATCTGAATAAGGAAAAGCGTTAGCAGGCTGAAAAGCTAGACGTGGGAGGCGCGGGCTGCTGGAAGTCACACTGGAGGTCTAGCCCTAACATTATGAGGGTGACCAGGCAAGGGCGCTGAAGAAACGCTGATCCCACGGCAATCCAGCCCAGCCCATCCCGGGCAGGTGGCTTCTTGACTAGAAAACCCTCAAACAATGACTCAGTCGCGGGGTGGGTGCCTCTGATCCCTGCGGCAACGTGGCGGTCACCGAGTCGAGGACTGAATTCCCTTGTTCCCTCTTCTCTCCCAGGTACAAGTTCGCCACGTCACAGCGCGTGGCGGGACCCCCGGAACCTTCCCTCCTGGTATAAACGGCCGTTACTCTTTCCAAGGGTCTCGGCTTTCGTCGAATACGGGGGCCGCGAGAGGCCAAACGACCCCCCTTCCCCAGCGCCTTTTCTCGGCGGCCGCCACTCCTTTAGCTCGGGTGGGTGGGGCTCCCGGGACAGGACGGTGCTTACTCTCCTCCCCAGCTCCCGCTGGCGCAGTTCTAGGCCTCGGTGGACCGCCAAGGGGGCGCTCGCCAGCTCCCGGCCAAGGCCAGCCTGCGGGGACCGCGCCCGCGAAGTCGCCGGGCCGGGGGCGGGGCCGCCTGGCTCCTCCC